ATTTGGACATGATTTCCAGATTTTTACCCAATTTTCTGTTTTTCCTCACCTTATTTTAACCTCTTGGCGTGAGGTCCAATTATTCGAGTTTATACGGTATGCTGGTCGCAGTATCATATATCACTCGTTTACACTTTTTCTCCGAACCTAACACTCCAATCGTGCGCCCAAAACGGTCCCTCCAGTATCATACCCTGATATCTGCACGAAAATAATAGATATCCGTAATTTCCCCCATCGATTCGAAGCTAGGTTAATAGGTTTCTCTATCGCTGAATAAATATGTCTTCCTTTGTAGGGGTCGTTGCTAAGAAGTCCAGTGGTTTACACATGCGCCCTTGGGCAACTGGCTTGGTGCTCCTACGAGTACAGCTTGGTCCCTAGCCATACGGCTCTATTTTCGGGATCTGTAGGTGTCTGGATGAGATCATGTTTTACAAGCCACGGGAAGCACCATTTTTCTGTCACAATTAATCTCACAATATTTCAAATCATCACCTTCCCCGGAGACACAATAGGCATACCGCGAGCAGCAGCAAATAAATGGGAAAAATGCCAAAAGGAAATCACCGACCGTGGAAAGCTGAGACATAGCATGCTGAAAAGGGGGGGGGGGACAGCAAACAGCTACCATATTTGGTGTTTGTCACCTGATTTTTTCTATGCATTGATGGCTGTCCCCGTCCTTTCGTACTTGTACCCCCGGATGTACTCGGCTATGGCCGAAGATGATTAACATCTTGTGCGGCTGCGGTACTCGGCAGAAGCCGCAAGGCACTAGACTCGAGTACGGTACTTGGATACCCGTATTGTAGTACCGGTAGTATTCCTTAGCCCACACCTCTAATTCGGGTGCCGTACCGGCACTTTAGGTTGTTGATGTAGGGGATAACGGAGGACCCACATTCCGCAGTGGGGAACAGAAGGCTAAGTGGGTATGTGTGGCACTATAGCAGTATGCGAGTACGAATGAGAGGTATGAGGTAAGGTAAAACAACTTCGTTCTGCACTCTCCCAAACTAACGGTAAAGACATCAGTATAAGTAAAACACGAACAATACACTCTGATCCTTCCATCAATCACCGCACTAATCTCTGTCTCTCCATTTGTGCTGCCCTTTCCTCCGTACACTCCTGTAATAACAAAGGAAACACATCCTCCATGAATCTTCTGTCAATCTCTGAACCTCCACACTAATCTATCAATCCACTGAACTTCCGCCAAACTCCCAAACCTTCTATGATCTATCTCAATCAATCCGCATCCTTCCAGAACCTTCAACATAGGCTGCTCCACGGTCTGTCTCCGCACGCGCCACAAGACACCAATCACTTTCCCGCACCCCCGAGCACTGCCCTAATATCTATAATGGGAATGTCCGGCCCATGGTATAGTCTTTGTCTCACCCCCATATAACAATACCCCCCACGAGTCAAGATCTATCATTGTTCCCACCTTACAGATTCTGAATTTGTCGTATTCACCATGCCCGAATCCCTCTTCTCCGCCCTGTACGCGGTATGTGTGCTGTAGCGGTGGCTTGGTTTGGGGGTTTGTCCGGAACCCGTCTGTGATTAATTGGCGGTGTCGGTTGAGTTAAGGCCTTACGGTACTTGCTGGGCTCAGTCTATTGAGCTTGGGGTGTCATTGATGAACGTCTTCCGATGTCCATTCCTGAACCGGTGCAAACCAGTACAAACAGGGGGGTTACAGGTGAGGCGTTGCGCCCACCCTCTATAATTTCTGTTCTTGCTTACCGCTCCTAGGATCCCCAATTCTCTACATCCACCCATCCGTCCAATTCAACAACCGCACACACCAATATCTAACTCATTTGCAGAAAAACTTCTGGAACTAGATATGTCCCCACTTGGGGCCATTATCTTACAAGTAGGCAAAGGCTAAGGGGCTGTTTGGCAAACCGACCAATAGGAGGTCCTATAACCAGCACATCCAAGCCTTATCATTGGTTAATTCGCCAACCATGGTTTCACGACCATGGCCTGTCGTCAGCCAAACACCCCCTAAGAATAATCAATGGTATCTGGCCGCCCCCGAGACGATCTATGTTGTCGGCGATGAATATCTGATTCCCCTACGTAACTCGGACTAGGAGTAATGAGGAAAAATAAAAACCGACAAACCCCCAGTAGTACGATACTAAGTTACAGCTTACCGATATGATGTATAATTGGCTGTTTATGGATTTATCTTTGTGGACGGTGTGCCGGGCTTAATGGAATGCACGTGATTACTGTTTTATTAAATAATAGAAGCTTACTAAGCCAGATAGTGAGTGGATAGATGTCTTCGCCGATGGCTAACTTCACCTCCATACCACGAAGTACCGAGACTCTGACCAATATGTTAGAGCATATTATACGAGTATCATACAAACACCGGTAGTGCAAAGGAGAAGGAGTATGGTCGGATATTTCCCGGGGGGTATAGGCGCTATTGTTTATCAAGTGTGATGATTAGAACGAGACCCAGCTCCGGCTGCTACAGCCTACGGGTGGGTCTTACTTGGAGAAAAACCACCTACACCCTATCCTAGAAAAGACGGAAGAGCGTTCGAGCACAAGGCGGTGATCGATTAGTGTTTATTGTAAGGATATAATGAGGATCAAAGTTGCCACTTGAAAATGCGTAGGCTGAAACCATGCGAGAAAGGGATAGCATAGTTGATGTAGTGAAAAAAAAGAAAATAGATTCCTTCTCTGTCAGCCAACTGACAGGACTATATAGGGATATATCATTATAGTATATCCAGCAGATTACCGGTAATACCGTATCTCCAAGCCCTTACCTGGTACCCTGACGGTTCCCATTCAAACCGGAACACATAGGCCTCGGAAGTCCACACTCACACCAAGACCTTGTCCCTAGACTGGCAAGGAATCGGGTTTCCGGGGCTACAGAAACATGGCACAAGGAAGGAAAAATCTGCAAGCTTATACACTACGCTCCTAAATCTTTCAAGCTCCTCTAATGAGTCCGGAAAGCAGTTATCAAGTATCTTTGTCACGCCAGAACCGCCGAGAAACCCCACAATCGCCTGGTCAGTCGCTAGGATATACAAACCAATACTGTCGAGAGCCCGGTACTATGGGGTAATGAGGGTGATGGTAAAAGTCGCCGATTACCGCAAGCGGCCGGCGGGCTCTACTATGTTCGTAGAGGAAGCAGAATTATAGCTCGGGGATGGTTGTCGCTATTACCGTAACGGAGACCAAGCGACGGGAATGAAGCTAACGCTCCGGTATGATAAGTATGAAACACGTATGGTACTTGTAGAATTTCGGTGAGTTCGCATGGGGAAAGAAATCGTGTTTGTCTCGGGTCTGAACATCCGTGACTCTCCTACAGCAGGGTAACTTATCGGCTACACACGGCCCGAGTCGGTTGATAGGAAAGGGTGATCCTGCCCAAGGGGCCGAATCTTGCAAACTCCGCTTCCCATTAACTCGCTCAACCGAACCCGACAACTCGGCAATTCATCCCTTTACAATACCACAACTAACGGGGAAATGCCACATCCTGATAAGCGAGCGTTAGGACGGGGAGACGTCAACCCCGATATACCGGACAATTCTAGCCGGACACCGCTCTCGTGGGCTGCCATGCGGGGGCATGACGAAGTGGTGATGCTATTATTGGAACGCGTAGACGTCAACCCCAATACCGGTATGCGAGATTATTGTGGCCGAACACAGCTTTCATGGGCTGCTATACAGGCGTGTGGTGGAGTACTGAAGCTACTGTTGGAATGGGCAGGTATCGACTCCGATCTGCAAGACGACGATGGCCGAACGGCACTTTCGTGAGCTGCCGAGAATGGGCATGATGAGATAGTGGAGCTACTGTTGGGACGGAAAGACTTCAGCCCCGATATTCTAGACAACGCTAGCCGGACGCCACTCTCGTTTGCTGCCGGGAATGGGTGTGGCGGAGTGGTGAAGCTGTTGTTGGAACGGGAAGACGTCAACCCCAATTGGCTAGACGATTGTGGCCGCACACCGCTTTCGCGGGCTGCCGTGAAGGGGCATGATGCGGTA